GCTCAACCGCCCGTCCCTGCCCGGAGCGGTCGTGCTGCTGCCCCCGTCCCTCTGCCGGGTACGTGACGGGGGTCCCCTGTCCTGGTCTGTGACCGTACGGCAGCCTGGAGTAACTGCTCGTTAAACCGTCTGCAGGGCTGCCGGATAACGCGGGGAAATTAAGGCTCGGGTGGACGAACAGGTCAGGTTTAAAAGCCCTGGTAGCCTGGTTGTGTGGCTGGGTTAACGGAGATCCTCGTATTTATCGCAGATCGGTGTGCTGTGATAAATAGAAATCCTTCCTTGGCAAAAGAAACCGTTTAAGGACCGTTTGGGGTGTGCCTTTGAGGAGAGATCAGGGTCAGTCGCTCGTGTCTTGCGTTTAGCGAAAGTCGAAGGGAATTTACCTTACAAGTGGAGGGTCTGTGTGCTGCTGCGTGGTAAATCGGGTGATTTGTAGCAATTGGAGGAGACATTCCTGTCCTCCTGTGGAATTTTGCTTTGTTGTTTCCCGTTTTGAAAGCCGTCCGTTAAGAAATTAAGATTTCCAGAGCTGAGTACCTTTCCTAACGCCAGTCTGTACTCCCACGGTATGTAACCGTTATACAAGATCATTCTCTTAAAAAATCATTGGTCAGAACTCAGTCTGTACAGTTTGCATTGCCATGCTGCATGTGCTTTTATCTGTTTATATTTCCAACTTGATTTAAAAACACAGGCTTTTATCTTTACCTTATATCAACACATTCCTATGAGTGGCCGTGAACACACATCGTTGTCGTGCAGGCCACGCAGCGTGGAGCTGCTCTGCTTTGTGAGCAGAGGTGCAGGGGCTGTGGTGGGATGTGCTGAGGAGCAAGGACGGGCAGAGGAGGTGCTGGGTGATGCTCCCAAGGCAGCTGGAGCCACAGCTCTGCCCGGACTCTCTTAATCCAGACTTCACTGGGTGCTGTTGTTCTTGGGTAACAACTTGGACTCCTTAAATTTGGGGGGATGGAGCAGGGGAAAGCTTGTGTGGGTATAAACACGTACCCAGACACATACCACGTATGGTCACGTGGAGGGGGAAAAATGCAAACCAACCAAAACAACGAACCAGTTGTGAAGTAAAAGAGGCCATCCAGAAAAATGGAGCTTCAAAACTCGGTAACCCAGTATGATCAAAAGATTTCGTGGTCAGCTGGCTTTTGAGGAGAGGGATTAAGTTATTAATGCGGATTAAGAAGTTTGGCTTCTTGCTGTTTTCATTCCATTTACGAGCTTTAAATCTGTTTACAATCAGAGTATGTTTCTTCCCTTGGTGTTTTTATTTCACTTGAGGTCTCTGCGTTGGCTTCTCCCCTCCTGCAGGCCTTGAAACATCCCCTTTATCCCTTCTGCTGTTCCCTGCAATGTGGCTCTGCCCCAGCCTCCCTCCCTCCAAACCCCACTGCCCCTGTCCTCACCCCTTACCCATCCTTCCTGCTGTGTCCCCAGAATTCGGGGAGTTGTACCCGTTTTGTTTCCTGTGAACTGCTCCGGGATGGGCACAGTACATCCAGCTACTTCTGCTGCTGTTTACACCCCTAAACGTGGTACGTAGGTGGATTCCACTGGCACTTGTGTACCTTAAATATCATCTGTCCCTGGAGCTGCCTTATAAATGAGACAGCACGTACAGGTCCCATTGTGCACTGCCCAGAGGAGGGTTGTTATTCGACAAAACAAAGCACCACGTGACTGCTGGTGTTAAATATACTGCGAGTGGCAAACACATGATCCCGGCGTTGCCACATATCCGCTGTTGCTTAACAGCAGCACCTACGAACGCTCGCTGAAAGAGGGCTCAGCAAAACACAGCCATTGGGTGCTTGGGCCTAAAGGATTTTCAGTACATAAACAAACTGCGGCAGAGAAAGCCGTTGAGATGGTTTTATTTAGCTACCACCTATGCTGAACCATAGAAGTTAAACGTGTCCCCCAGCAAAAGCTCTGCAGCAGGAGACACAATGTACCCACCGGCTTCTCTTCGGTGCTGTGACCCTGCATTTTGGCATTCCCCTGTGTTTATGAGCCGAGATGTCCGTGCTGGTGCTTCTGCTGTCACACTGCAGTGTCACACTCGTGTCGCACGTGGGTTAATTCAGGTTCTGTGTCCAATCGTGCCCGCAGGTTCCTGGGTGGAGCTGCACTTCAGCAGCAATGGGAGCGGCAGCGGCAGCAGCGCCACGGCGGGGAGCCAGGAGCAGGTCCCTGCCTCGCTCTCCATTCACAACGGGGACATGGAGAAGATACTCCTGGACGCACAACACGAGTCTGGGAGAAGCAGTTCAAGGGAGAGTTCACACTGCGACAGGTAAAGAAAATGCAGAGTAAAGGTTGCTGTTACACAAAGCCGTCGGTAAGCGCGAGGGGCAGAGATGCAGAAATGCATACGAACACGTGTGTGTGTGCATGTACACACAGAGAGGAAAGCTTCGTCTTGCAGAGACTGGTATTTAAATACTGCAGTAATGCTTGGGCAGAAGCCTGTGCTGCAACCCAAAGAAGTTCCAGGGGAGAGGACTCAGAAGCTGCTCCCACCTCATGAAGGTGTCAGTGGGGTTTTGGTGCATCCCAATGAAGTGCAGCAGCTGAACTCGCCCACGGGTGCACTGCTTGTGCCCAGGCAGCAGCCTGCTGCTGGTAAATAAAATACCTCTGGAGCTGTGTGTGGCTGTTCTGAGGGGGCTGTCCTTGTGCAAGCAGTGTCAGGGCTGTTTGGGAGAGCACGCAGCGCTGCTGACACCACTGCCTCGACAGCACTGCCAGGAACGGTGCTAAACAGCAGCTTGTGGTGAGGTGCAGCACGTAACGGTTCTTAGGTCATTGCTAAAGAGTTGTCCTGTGTCCAGTTTACAAAAGATTTGGAGTGTAACACAACAAAACAGCTTGCATGTTGTCACTCAGTGTTATCAATGCATTTATTTGATTTCTGGTGGGCTGTGAAGCCTGCAGCCTAAAGTTGAGGGAGACAAAACAGAGAGTAGGATGCAGAGCTTCCTGGCCTTATCTGGGCAGTTGGAGTGCAAAGCAAACCCCACTTTTATTCATCATTTGCTTATTTATTAAGTACCACGGGTCAAACCATGCAGCCTCACAGGGTAAAACCAGCTCAGTGCAGCGAGCTCCTTGGTGTGCTGTTAGAAAATGAGAATTACTGAGGGTGATGGCTGGGTGGTGCTCTTCAGAACTGCTCTTACGAGCTGCTGGTGTGTGCTGTAAACCATGCCATAAGAAATGTAAGGAGCTGTTACGTGTGCTTCCTCCTGGTGCAGCCCTCCGCGGTCCCAGACGCCTCAGGACAGCCACAGAGCTGCAGAGATAGAGAGCCACAGCAGCGGAGAAAAGAACAGCTTTCAGGTAAAAACCTCATCTCGCTCTGGGAGAGACAGGTACTTACTGTCAGCATTAGGAAATGAGAGGTGGAGACTTGAGCAACTCGGTAATTTAGAGTAATCCCTGCAGAATCAGGCTTTGTGGTGATGAAAAAACACTTATAAAGCACTTTGAGGAGTGAAGTATTGAAAGTATTTAAGTGAATTTCTCTGCTCTCCCAAAGACTTGCTGTGTTACCTGGGGTACATCACCCTCCCTGCACTGTTTACATACAGAGAGATACTGGGTTTTCTTAATTTGCAATATATTCCTTGCCTGTGACTTAATTCTCACAGGGTTAGCAATTAGAAATCAAGATGATGCTTCACTTCTCATGAGGAGAAGTAGCCATGTATGATAAACTGGCAGAGGCTTGCACAGTATTTAACCTGTGGGGTGTCAACCTCGTACGGTTTCTGAATCACACAGCTTTATCAGTAATAGAGAATTTAATCAGGTCTCAAAATGACACGAAATGAGCTTGGTCCCATTGCTGTTTGCTTTACCTGAAACTCTCCCCATCTTCTACAACTGAATTGCCACCTCTAGCTTAGCTAAATGCATTACTGCAAATTAATTACTGTTGTATTTCCAGAAAACCCTTCAGATGTTTCAAGATCATAACTTAGCCTTTGAGAACAAATAATCAGAAGTCAGAAAACCACCCGAATTCAAGCTGCCTGGCCAATGTTACTTCTATTCTTAAGCGTGTGTGTGCATACCCAGCTGTTTTAGTTCTGCCATCAGATGCTATTTTTATCTCAAGACCTTGGCTCTTTCAGTGCACACGCATTAAGCAAGAAACTATGTTCTTATTCAGCGTTGATGCTGTAATTCACTTGAAATCAGAGCCACTGTTTGGGGTTTTTCTGCCCAGATGTGTGCAGTGGGCTCTCTTCAGCTGCCTTCCCCACACTGCCCCAAAGGCCAGCAGGAGTATCCCAGAATATGAGGAGTTGGAAGGGCCCTGGAAAGCTCCCCCAGTGCAACCCCTGCCAGAGCAGGATCACCAGAGCAGTCACACAGGAACACGGCCAGGGCTTTGGGTGTCTCCACACAAGGAGACTCCACAACCTCTCTGGGCAGCCTGGGCCATGCTCCAGAACCCTCACACTCACAAACTTTGGCCTCATCTTCAGCTTGAACCTCCTGTGCTCCAGCTTGGGACCATTGCCCTTGTCCTGGCATTGGCCATCCCAGAGCAGAGCCTGGCTCCTTCCTCCTGACACTGCCCTTTCCCAATGGATCCCCATGAATGAGGGCACCCCTCAGTCTCCTCTGCTCCAAGCTGAAGAGCCCCAGCTCCCTCAGCCGCTCCTCAGCAGGAGATGCTCCACTCCCTGCATCATCTTTGTGGCCCTGCTGGACTCATTCAAGCAAAGTAGTTTCCCCAAAGGTCCCCAAAGCTAGGAGTAGTTTCCCGTGGTTTAATTAGCTTGATGAAGGGTCTTCTGATAAGTATGGTGAGTTTTGAGTGCAGGCAGAAAGCTGCTGCTGCCAAACGCCAGCCAGACGTGTGCACTGGGGAGATTTTCAGATCCTGTGTTCAGTGCAGGGCTCTGGCATTTCACTTCCAGGGGGGTCTTGACTATCACTGTCCTGACTATATCCCACTATGGGCTGTGGATGTGGGATACAGCATTTCCGTTTCCATTCCCATCCTGCTCTGGAGATCTCCCTCCTCCCCTGCTTGTTACCTGGGATCTAAATACATCAGTACCAGTGGTGCCTGATATCGGCTCCTTCTTTCAGTCTGAAGAGGATTTCCTGGAAAGGAGGAAAGAAGTGGAAAGGCTCCTGAAGAAGAACGCGGACTGGATCTGGGACTGGTCCAGCAGGCCCGAGAACATCCCCCCAAAGTGAGTGCTCCCCGAGGGGGGTGGGCTGTGTACCCCGTGAGCCCCGCTCTGGCCGTGTCTGGTAACGCTGCCCCTCTGCTGCTTCCTCACAACCAGGGAGTTCCTCTTCAAACACCCCCGGCGCACAGCCACGCTCAGCATGAGGAACACCAGCGTCATGAAGAAAGGGGGCATTTTCTCTGCGGAGTTTCTGAAGGTTTTTCTTCCGTCGCTGCTGCTTTCTCACGTGCTTGCCATTGGGCTCGGGTGAGTGGAATTCCAGATGAAGGTCGATGAAGTTTTTTAACCTGTGTTCTCTGACTTTAACCTGTGACTCAGCCTCCCAGCTCCCTCCTTGCCCCGCAGCAGGGGGATGGGTTGTGATGCAGAAAGCACTGTCTGAATGCATCGAGTTTTCCTTTTCTGCTTTTCTCACTCGTTGAGAATCTATCAAAATAACCAAGGGGCAGTGAGATTAGGAGTTATATATATAGATGAACTATAATTATACAAACACAATACTCAGATCCATTGAGATGTCACTTGTAATCTCGTAACTAACTGCAAAGGAAGAAGATAGTATTGGATATATTTTAATATTCACTCAGAGCTGGGAGGGACAGCAGAGAAGACAGGAGGTGGTTTTCTTTGGGTGATGTAGGGGTCAGACGATTCTTCTTTCAAAACAGCCCCACAGTACTTAAAATTAACTCGAAATGAATTTATCTCCTCCTGAAGTTGAAAGGGGTAACTGTGCAAGGTGGAAGAAAAGCAGAATAGAATTCTTCTTCCAAAATAATTGGAGTTTGGAGGTGTACGTACTTAGTTTCTTCCTGGTCACTTCTACCACTGCTGCAAACCTGCATCATTGCAGTTCAGAAAGAGTGAGGAACAGTGTCATGTCTTCAAGAAGTGCTTGTTGTGGTATCAGTAAAATAGTTACTTTATATAACTTAATAATTTATGTAAAGAATCATTTCTTGAAGCTGTATGTGAATGGAAGGTGCAGTGTGGGGCAGGTGTGAGAGCATAGCAAGCTGGGAAATACCAGAGAAACACGTGGAGATGAGGGTAAAATGAGCTTTACAGACTTCAGGTGTATTTAGCAAAGAGGAAAACTTGAGATAACGTCAGGAACAAGGCAATAAACACCAGACTGGGAGGCTCCTGGTGTTCTTGTGACCCCGTCCTTACCTCTGCGTCCTGGCACTGAGGGACCAGCAACCGGACCAGTGTCAGCATCACTTGGTTTGCCCCTTTAACGGCAGCTGGCCCAAAACACAAGGAGCAATCTGATGAGAAAAGAGAGTGTTCCTGACGTGCTGTACCTCCCTGCACAACCTGACCGTGTGTGTGTGACCCGCAGGGTGTACATCGGGAGGCGCCTGACGACCACGGCCTCCAGCAGCAGCTTCTGAAGGGACGCAGGAGGGAAGGGCAGAGACGGCCGAGCTGCGGGGTCACTGCTGCTGCTGCTCCCCTGCTCCTGGCTCAGGGAGCACGGGAAGAGACGCTGAAGCTTCCGTATCGTACGTAGTCCTCCGGATCAACTCGTAGAGCATGTGTCAGGCGCATTACATCTCCTGTATTGCTTTGTAGTGAAGTCTCTTTGAAAATTGAAGTAACTCGGTGTTTAAAAACCATCCTGCAGCTGGGATTCAGCCCGGTGTCAGCTCCTCTGCACCACAGCCGTGTGGATATTCAGTGCTGCTGTGACCGGGACAGCAAGGGATGAGCCCCACGCGTGGCCTTGCGTATCACAGGCGGGAATTCGAGAGCTTTCGCCTCACCCGGGGCGGTTTCTTCCTTCCTTGGGTTCTGCTCAGCTCTCCTGTGCTTTTGGGTGAGATGGGGAGCGTTGAGACAGGGGGAGCTGGGAGAAATTCGGCTGGGGGTGAAGCTGCCGCCGCTTTTCACTGGTTCAGTGTGACGCACAACAGCCTCCATCGCAATTTGGACTTCAGTGCCTAATAAACAGCTGCTTTGCAAAGGCATTTATCTAACTCACCACTAGTAGAGGTTCCTCTGTTGTATCTACTTGCAGACTATGGCTTCTCAGTCTTTTTATCTGTAAAATAATACATTTGCATCCTAAATTGCCTCATCCTTGTATAGATTAAAAAAAAGGGTTGCTGGCTTATTTGTTTTTACTAAAGGAATGCCTTTTCATCCAGTGATTTTACCTTATTTAATGAGAGAGAAAATGAACGTTTGCCAAAATCCCATGTTTTATATATTTAAATAAAAAGGTTCCTGATGGATCCAGAGGTTTCTCGTTCCTTTTTCTCCAACAATTGTCGAAGGGGGTGATGGGCTCTGTCTAAACAAGTTTGTCACCATTTACCTGTATAATAATTGATGTTTCTATAGGAAACCCCTTCGCTGCACATCCTTGAACTTGGCCATGGCTGCGCTGGGGGAATTCACCGCTTCCCCTGGGAGATTATTCCAGTGTCTGATGGATAGGTTGTTCCAATGATCTCATCGATCTCATGGTCAATAAATCTCTTCTGGAGTTCAATGGGGATCTCCCCAGCAGCACTTTGTGTCCAACTCCTGTATGTGAAACTGGACACAGGTTTTTTAGTCTGGTTACAGTGCTACACCAAAGCAGCACTGAAGCCATTGGTGTCAGTCGCTGTGGTCAGTGTAAATGACCATGGAATTCAGTTTAGCCTGAAGTCCCACTCCGGTCACTTCCAAACCTGTCCCAAGGAAGCAGACCTTGCACACCTCCACCTTCTCCCGTAGTTTCCACCTCGTAACCAGTGCCGAGTCCTCCCAATTTCTGCTCAGCACAGAACTGCGCTGCCCCTCTCAAACACACACATGAGCCTTGTGAAGCCCGGATTACACAGAAACCTCTCATGATTACAGGAACCCTTAAAAAATGCAGTGCTCACTTCAGCCCCTGGGAATGGGGCAGGAAGGATCCACCAGACCAAAGCAGTTTAATGCAGGTTCCAAACCCCTCACCTCCAGTTTCCAGCACAACTGCTGCTCTGCCACCTTTCCCTCAAAGCCAACCAGGGCCTGCGGTCACTCACATTTAGGACACGTTTTCCTGCTCTCAATGCCCTGAACTTTGGGCAAACCCCTGACCGAACACTGACTTTATCAAACTGACAAGAAAGTCTTTTTTTCTCTGGATAAAATGAAATGATAGGATTTTTCGTGAGTCATCAAAAACTATTTAATCGAAAGTGGTACAAGCAAATCAAGTTTTATATAATAGAAGATTTCACCATATCCTTTTTTCTTTTTACTCATACTCCACTTACATTTGCTGAAAAAATAGAGCAAAAATAGACAGCACTGATACATTCACCCAGAACGAACAGAGCTTGCCCAGTCAGGCCATGACCACCAAACCACCTCAAACAGAAATACAAACAGCCTGCAGGGCGCTCGTTCGGCCGCTCAGCGCACAAACCCCTCGAGTCGTCAAAATACACAGAGCAAGGCCAGGTAAACATTGAAAATTTATTCAACTTTTTGGTCAAAATCATCGAACAGGTTATGTACAATCCCATGGCGTCCGCTCCCGTCTGAGGAACGGGGTCGCGCCCGACGCTCCAGCGACCCGGGAGCTCCGCGTTTGCAGATTTTCAAACAGCGTCACAACGAGATACAGGGTAAGGGGTTGTCATTTAAACTTCACTCTCGGGCTCGCCGCGACCCGGAGCTGAGCCCGCATACGCAGATCTGGTTCAGGCATCGTAGCGCACCTTCATCTTACCAAACCGGAGTGTAACCGGAGCGTGACCCGGTGTAAACCACGCCTCTGCGCTCCTCGGGGAGCCCCAGGGGTCGCGTTTGTCAGCGCTGCCCGTTTGCAGGCACGTTTTGGGGGCAATGTCTAAGTACGTGACGCTACCAAGGCGCTGGCGCGGCTCTGGGGACGGCTCCTCCCCCAGGCTGGGGGGGGAGAGGAGGGCGGTGCCTCTCAGGCCTCTTTGGGGGAAAAAGAATGAAAATAAGAAGAAAAATGGAAAAAAAAAAAGAAAAAAAAAGTACCTAAGGCTTAAAAGAAGTCACCAAGAACGGAGCCGCAGCCACCGCCAGCTCAGGGCCCAGCGCCGACACCGCGGCGGAAATTCGGGACAGCCACCGCGCGTCAACCTGCGCTGGCTTGAACGGCGCCGTGAAACAGCGTCACGGCAGGTGTTCAACAGAAACGCTGTCCTTGTGACGAGCAGTGAAACGTAATGCACGTGAGGTCTGTCTCTAGCGTCAGAGGCATCAGAGAAAGGGCATTTTCGTCTCCAGAACTGGGTACCTGCTTCGCGTCCTCCTGCGCAGGGCGGTCACGTTCTGTTAAGGCTGTGGATGTCGGTGTCCGACCTTCGTGATCCCTACTGGGTACACAGAGAGCATTTACAACAAAAACCAGTGCAGCTTCAACTAAACAACCGTTTCCTGGAAACTCTCAGGTTAGAATTCGAAATACTACACAAAACAGTTCGCATTAGTCTGCCAACAAAAAAAACCAAAAACAAATCAACGTTCGGGGCAGAAACGTGTCCAGTTCGCCCACCAGAATTATTCTGCACAATCTCGGTACATGCATTAAAAAAATAAAAAGACTGAATACATAACCTTCAGCTTTAAAAACACTTTCGATAGTTTGTTACTTTATTAAGTGGTTGACACCAGAAGGTGTGGTTATAGATACAGGTGGTGAGTAAATATTCATGGAAACCTGTCTACGAACCCAACTCGAGACCTACCTAAGTGCTCCGAGGTAAAAACACCTACGCCTAGATACAGGCCAGAGGAGGAATGTGTACAGGCAGTAAGCACAATATATGTTTTGAAAGGCCCAAATATTACAGCAGAGAAAGAGCGCGAGAGATAGAAATTACATTTTTATGACAATTTTTTCCTCTTGGGTGTTCAATTTTTGGTCTATAAACTGGAAAGGAAGGCTCAGACTGAAATAAATACACGTGTTAGAGCGTTGGCCTTAGCGAGCACTGCCCTTCGGTTCTGCCGCTCCAGGGGGTCTCCCGAAAGCTGCGACCGCCGCTCCCGGCCCCGGCGCGGGCAGAACCACCCCGGGCGCTCCAAGACCAGGCCAGATCCTCTCCTTTGCTAAAGGGAAGTGAGAGCGTCAGTGTTCGTCACCAGCAGACATCGAGGCCTTCTCTTTCACAGACAACGACTCGGCTGAACGATGCGAGACGACGGCCGTCCCCACGTCGCGCCACCCTTAGTTAATTTTGTCCTGGAATATATACAAGTTATTGGTGGCGGCTACGGCGATGATGTTCTCCACGGGGTGCCACGCCGTGTGCAGGATCTTCTTGTTGAAGTCCAGGCTGTCGACGCTGATCTCGTCCTTCTTCCTCTTGCCGCCCGTGCACACCTTGCGCGGCTTGAGGATGGCGCGGGGCTTGCTGCTCTCGCGGGACGCCTCCAGGGTGATGTCCCGGCGCGTGCTGCGGTCAAACATCCGGAAGAAGTTGTTGTAGGAGCCGGTCATGATCGCGCTGCGGGAGAAAGGCAAATCTGAGCGGGTTTCGGGAACGGCAGAAACGACCCGGGGCTTCTGCACAGAAACGAGTCTGCTTCTGGACAAGGCAGAGGCGAAGCTGCACCTGAAAATGCTTTCATGCATCCAGCATCCAATGAACGACTTGTTCACAGCTCTCACAAAAAACAGGCTTGAAATTGAGGCCCAGTTGTTCATTATTTTCTCTATCTCTACCACCTGAAACTGGAAAAGCCGCTTCCCACACAGCAGAAGTCCCACGGATTGTTCAAATCACAGCCACCTCACCCCTGTAATCTTATTGACTGACACACACTGTCCTCATGGCACTCAAAAATTAACAACTGGGAGACACTACCACCACAAGGTAAACCACTCTAACTGCACTGGGAGAAATATCCTGTCTTCTTCACAGGGAGGTGAGCATCACAGCTTCTACAACTGATGTTCTTATAATGTGCTCACACAAGATGGCCTTGCCTTGACCTTCCCCCCCTCCAAAAAAGTGTGACTGGGGTTGCTTGAACACACAGAAATAAGCTCAGTTTCTCTGCATTTCAGATGAGGGAAAAAAACATACACGAGTTCTTTTGTGCTTTTTATGTTAGATAATGTCAATATTGCTGGCAATTTACTATTCTTTTTGTAAACGGACTGGGGCAGTTTGATTTCTCCTCCCAGTAAGTCAAAGCCACTTGCAACCTCGGCCACTTGCGACCCGGTATTTTGTCCTATTATTTAGGTATGTACAGTCTTATTATTATTTAGGTATGTATTTCCTTCGGTGGTGCTCACTGAAGGAACTGGTCCTGAAGCAGCAGGAGCACACCCCCAATCTCAACCCTCTCAGCACAGCACCTTCAGCGGGTTTGGCTTTGCTGACCCTGTGCTCAGCTGAGATCTGACCTTCCCCATCACTGCCCCCATCTGAACTACGCGGTGGATCTTTTGTGCTTCAATATCTAACAGATTTAGGCCAAAGCTCGCTCCACAGGCTGATCCTGTAACCATCACATCAAAATCTCTTCATCAAACAGCCTGCAAGGGTTTGGTAGCAGAGCAGTCACTGGTTTGGGTGTTTCAGATACACCCATGGAACTCTACAAAAGCCCAAATTGTGCCTGAGCTGAGGCCACACAGAGCACCCAGATCCAAGATCTGGATCCACCACAACTGCACCCATGGGCTCTGACAGCGTCCAACAGGGAGCTGCTGTTACCACAGCCACGGCGGGGAACAAACCCCACGTAGGGCAGTGTTCTACAGCGCTGCCACCGCCTGCAGGCAAGACGTGAGTTACCACTGCCTGCAACAAGTGTGAGCATCACCTAACGCACGTCTGTCTTCTTTAGCCTAACAAAAACATGGGAAGAGGACTCAACTTGCAAGACACTGAATGTGTGCTCTTGCATGCACCTTGAGAATGAAACCACGTCACGTTTTCATGGCTTGGCTGCATGAAACTTCACCCATAACTCGTATTAGAAGCAACCTGACACACAAAAGCCTATTCCACTTCTGCAGCTGGAGGGTGGAGGATTAAAGAATGAAGCCTTTTTGCAAAAAAAAAAAAAAAACCCAACTGATTGGAATTTAACTAATTACAACATTTGAGTTCAGTGCTTGTGGCTTACAAGACTGGAAATGAAATCCCTAATGCTGAGGGAAAAACAAGAAACCAACCCAAACCGAGCGGCCAACCTACCTATCAGAACCGTTCCAGCAGCACTCAAACTTGTCAAAGATGCAGTCGTTCTCGTAGAGGGAACAGAGCTTGCTTCGGAGATACTCGTGAACCTTGTCGGAACATTTAAACTGGTGTTAGGTATCAAGAAAAAGCAGAGAAGGGCAAAGAAAGGGTGTTTAAGAGAACTTGAAGACTTTACTTGATACGTCTCTACAGGCCTGTTTTCCATGTTGAGATCCCAGACTTTCACAGAAAGGTAATCTCTCGTCATCATGTATCGGCCACTGTGGCTGAATTTGACATCCGATATCGAGGAGATTATTTCTGAAAAAAATGATCTGCTGCTAGGATCCTCGGGTTCTTCAAAAACTGCAGACAGAAAACACAATGACAAATGAAAACAGCACCAGGATTTACAGCTCCAGACACTTTTCTGAACTGTGAAAGTTTTGAATGAATAGACTTGTTTCTTTTTAAGGAAGTTTTTGTAAATACTTTAAAAGTAATCTCTTTTTAAGCCATGTGAAGCTCTTGGCTGTTGCATTGCTGGATGCCCATCTCCAGCAACTGGGGCACAGCAGCAGCAAGCTCCACTTCGTGGGCCTTAGGGGTCAGTCAGAGAAAAGGAAGTTCAAAAGCAGCGGATGGGTCCACAACCACCACGACTGATCTACGAGTCACGCTGGACGAGAGCGGATGCAAACACCAGCATCCCAAACACCGCACCTTAACGTGTGACCCGTGCTGTACAACCTGCCTTTCTTTACATCCAAACACAAGCCGTACAACACAACCTACGTGAAATGAAACGCTAGCATCTGCTCCTGAAATGCAACTTGTGTGGTTTTAGAGAGCAGGTGAAGAAATACATTACTGAAGTCAACGAGCCAATCTCCGAAGTCAACATTTCATGACACAAGCCAACCTGAACTGTTTATTTCTTTTTTGAATAGACCCTTTTTAACAGGATGTTATTGAGTGACAAGCAGTAAAAAAATAAGTACAAAAAATAAGTGCTTCCAAGTAATTTAATGCAACACTAAGTCAAACAGATGGCATGGCCTAGTGTTCTACATTTCCTATTGCAAATATTTCCTTCCACCACCAGGACAACCTTTATCTGCCCTACAGAGAGCTCACCTGCAAATACCAGCGTGGCAGAACCAGTACCACTAAAGCTCACCTGCAAATACCAGCGTGGCAGAACCAGTACCACTAACACACCCCAACTGCAAGGAGGAGGAGGCTGCATGCAGGTATCCTTACGACTTTAACAGAAAACCTTTCCTCACCTCTCTACGTTTACGTGGCTCTGCAAACTAAAGAGCATTCACTTCCAGCCCTGGAAGCTCATTTCAAACACAGCACGTGTGCTCAAGAGTTAACTCTACCCTAGGAGCAGCACAGGGTCAGTCAGTGGATTCAGGCAGCGTCAGCCCAGTCTGTACCGCACTGAGGCGAGCACGCTGCCCTGAACTGGCACGTGACAAGACTCAAGAGTTAACTCTACCCTAGGAGCTGCACGGGGTCAGTCAGTGGATTCAGGCAGTGTCAGCCCAGTCTGTACCGCACCGAGGTGAGCACGCTGCCCTGAACTGGCACGTGACAAGCAGACACCTTTGAGAAGCACCAAGACTGAGTGTGGCCAGGAGACAGCTCTCACTGGTGCCACAGGCACTTGTCCCATCACTTTATGCTGCATAAATGGGCAAACGGAAGCAGAGGCAGCTGGTCAAATGGCTCATGCTGCACTTCTGCTGGCTGCTGGCCTAGAACAAGACAGTTAAAAGGGTCCATGCTACTCAACTCCCACCCTCACCTCGTGTGCTCTACCGAGGAGCAGAGCTCGGGACGTCTATGTATAAACACAACCCCTACATGCTCTATCTCAAACACAAAGCAAGAGGCCCAGAGCGGCGCCGCAGCCCCCTTACATTTGGAGTGCCTGTCGCAGAGCGCGGAGGAGCGCATGTCGCAGAGCCGGATGGTGCCCTTGCTGCTGCTGTACACAAAGACGTTGCAGTGGTGAGGGTGGAACTCCGCGGCCGTGATCACCTCCGTCAGCTCCTCCATGTTGGCAGGCTTAATATCTACTATATCTGGGAGGGCTCTGTAAAGGCACTCAAACCACTTCAGCAGATCATTATTAGAAAAGGTCAAAAATACCACGCAGAAAACCAGGGCAAGATCTTGATTTCCATTGTGTGCAAGCTACACAAAGTAAAGTGACCCGAGCAGATTTTAAAAAATATAATCTAGATTTTACAAATCAGCTTTAACAGATGCCGGAGATAATTTCAGACTCCTCTCAAGCCTCTTCTAACACTTCCTACTGAACACTGAACACACTTCATCTACTTACCTAAAGCCTTAGAAAAGTTCCATATGGCCCATTTAATATTTCATATTTTTGCAACTTTTCTTTTACTGCAGATTTGTCAATGTAGGACACACCATCAGTTTTGGATACATATGCTTGCAAAAAGATCTGAAGATTATTTCTGCAGTTAATGATATCATTTGGTTTGGACAAAACTTGAAGTGTGTTTTCTTTAAGAGAAGGGTCACTTAGACAAGAGACCTTAACCTTTGCAAAGGAGCAGCTACAGGAACACAGGATCTGCTTTGCAGGTCTTTCAACTCTCACTAAAGCCAGCTGAACTCCACAAATGAAGGATGCTCCCAAAATTCCTCAATTTCTCTTTAGAAATGAAACTCTCTATGATATTCCTACTGGTAATCTCCCACTGAAAGAATGCTTGCACTCAAGAATCAATGAGAGCATCCCAAGGTCTGCTTTCACGGTGTTAAACCTCCACATTTTACAATACCATATTTTAATCCCTACATTTAAACACCTACTCCAATTAGTAATATCAAAGTGATTCTCTTAAACATACACAACTCAGACGTGCCCCAGCGTTCCCAGCAGACAAAAAAGGATACTAAAACTTCTATCTGTGATTTCTAAATGCCATAGGTTAATTCTTAGGTCATCTGCAGACAGGTACGTTTCATGATCACTATTTACTGAAATAGAGTTTATGTGGTAAGTATGTGCATTTGCAAATATCCTTCTGGGACTTGCTTCTACCATTAGGTCCATGGGTTTCAGTATTGGCACCTGAAACACAAACAAGAACAAAGAAATTATGGCAGGGCCCAAGATCATCCACATTCCTGGAACAAGACACAATCCATCCAGGAGCTCCAGAACTGCTTTCACCACGTTCGTACCTCAGCCTGTTTGCATCAAACTGAAATGATTCAAATTAATCCAGTACTTTTATTAGACAGTTTTCTCGTCTCACCACTTGTGTTCTCAGCCTGGCCATGAAATCGAAAATGCGTTAATGGGAATGATCAGGAATGGTACTTGGAAATGCCAGGGGCTCTGTGCAAAGGACGCAGCTCTGAAGCGCTGCTTCTCCTCCACATCTACTTCTTCATAAACAAATGAGATTGTGTTTCTGTAACAAAAATATGCAAACAAGGCTCATAAAAGCGCTGTCCTCTGCTGGGCAGTTGCTGTGTTATGGGCCTCTGAAATAACGCACTTTTCTCCACGCTGCACTAAGACATCAGAGCATTGCACGAACACAGCAGGGTCAGCCCATGCTTTCTGTGAGCTGAGCCCCAGCCAGAGATACTGCTAAATGCTGCGTTTTCAGGCCTGAATAACAGCTTCTTGTTATATTTTATTGCTCTCAATAAACCAGTGTATCTTTTCCTACAGCTGGAATATACTGAGGTGGATGCAGGTGGCCTCTGACAAAGTATTTTAATTTTAAAAAACAGTTTAAACGTCAAATCCATTCTAAATATGCTAAGATGTTAAAAAAACCCAAAACAACAACAAAAAAAACCCAACAAACTATTGGAAAGCTAATTACATAAGATTATAATCATGAAAGATGAAAGTTTGCCTCAAGTTTCCCAAAGGAAGTTTATTAAACATAGGTAGATAGGGAGGTAGATAGGTGGGTAGATAGGGAGGTGGGTGGGTAGGTAGGTAGGTAGATAGGCAGATAGGTAGGTAGGCAGGTAGGTAGATAGGCAGATACGTAGGTAGGTAGGCAGGCAGGCAGGTAGGTAAGCTGGTAGGTAGGCAGATAGGTAGGTAGGCAGATAGGTAGGTAGGCAGATAGGTAGGTAGGCAGATAGGTAGGTAGGCAGATAGGTAGGTAGGCAGATAGGTAGGCAGGTATAATCAAGTGCCTCCTTTTTTTATAAAAGTTTTCAACAAACCTGACCAGGACATCATTTTCCCTCTACACATTTCAGCCGACAACTGTGGGATCACAAAGGTAGGGAGCACATGCAAAAAGGTATTTAAAGTCAACGGCAGAAACGTACCCGTAGTGCTGTGATTCTGAAAGGATCCCTAAGTCTTCCATCTTCATCTTTTAAATTATAACCTTCGGCTCTTTTGTCCCTTTCACTTATTTTCCATAATTTAATAGTTTTATCTAAAACCAAAAATTCACATGCTTGAGAATGAACTACATTCAAAACAAAATCACTAAGTAACGGAGTCAGCAGAGTGCGTATTATTATTATTATTATTATTACACAGTGAAAATGGCATATATCCACAGGTGCTTTTCAAAGCACACGTGATGTTTTGGTGTTGGAAAAGCAAAGAGAGCATTGTAACCACAGTGCTTCAGTTTCAAGTGTTTTTATTAAAACTAAAAAAGTTACATTTCACAATGAGGATGATCAAGGTGAATTCAGACTCCTGCTACAGTTCAGCACACTGGGAACTCGTTCACACAGAAACGACAAAGCAGAGTCAGAGGGTACGTGACCTGACAGCACGGGCAGTAAATCCACAGGGTGCAGCTCTGCCTCGTCTGGTGCTGCTTCATTATTTCTACATTTGCAGAGCATTACAACCAGAACATATTTTGCATATAACTACAAAAGACATTAAAACAACCCCAAAACACTCTAGGAAAACCCCACAAGTGGATCACAGGTGAGACAAAATTCAAATGACATTGGAAGTTTTGTGCAAAAAGAAAGCGTCCTTACCATTTGTAGACAGCAGGAAATGAGCAGCGTTCTGTTGTGGTAACCACCTAATTTTATTAATTTTTTCCTCAATTTCTAGACTTTTCAAGTAGTCAAACTCAGGTTCATGACTCTGAAAGGTACTGTAAACATTATATTCTCCCCTAGAATGAGGACGGCTTTTATTCTGCAAGAAAACATAATATTTCTTGAAGCTGACGTTACCTGGTTCATTAGGCACTGCACATACAAATAACAGAAACAGTGAATAGCTTTTTACAACAGACATTGATGAACTGATGTTGTTACTCCATGATACCGTATCTAGTTTATCAACATAGTGCACACACACTTCCTTTTACAAATGTACCCTTACACATAAGTGTGGGTGCACTCAGGGGTAACACATGGAAACGCTTCAGAGAGGGGCGCTGCCTGCACAGACCTGGGTTTGTCTGAGAGCCCCGGGCAGTGGCACAGAACTGGAGCAGAGGAGTTACCCATGTCCCAAATCCTACACCTCCAATCCCTGGGATTGGGTTTGCACTTCACCTCAACTCCATCCCCGTCCTTTTCCACAACTCATTCCTCTCACCACCACAATATGGACATAATGTGGGGTGTCCTTTTAATGTGTTAAAGGACAGAGTAAATACATGTTTTTTTATAAACACATGGTCACACAAAGTTATTCTGCTGAAGGCTCAGCAAGATCAAGTTCAAGCATAAGATCCAGCTCCTCTCATTTTAAAACACAGTGTCCACAAGTGGTATCAAGGCTCATATTTAAGCTTTGACAGCTGTTTTTATGATACAAACTCGAAGGCTGGAATTACGACGTTTCCTGTAGTGCTCATCGTGATGTACCAAGGACTGTGCCTGACACACTCGCATTTCCCCTCACACAACTAGAAGCTGGCTTTGTCTTGACCTCACTTGGTAGATGCGGTAGTGAGGAACAGAGATCAAGGTCACAAGTATTCCTAGATTTGCAGTATCAGCTTTGAGGCAATGAATTACCAAGCTGTGCACATGAGTCAGTGCTGGATAAAGACTCACGTCTGGAGAGCAGGCCCTTGTAGAGCCACAGTGCCCAGGACTTCTGAGAACCAAACTCCCCAAACACCACTGGGAATCTCTCACTTGAGCAGCACAAATCCCTCGCTGCCAAGGCAGGCAGTGGTCAGCGCAGGGAAAGTGCTCCCTGCGCCCTGACAAGACCTGGCGTGGGAAATGCAGCGGTGCCAGCACCGCGGGCTGCCAGGCCAACGCACAGCTGCAGGGACAACCTTTGCTCTGCACCCTCCTCACCCTGCCATGCTCCGCTCGGCAACGCTGATAAGCTCATTCCAGCTGGGATTGCTTCCTGCAGTCTCCCACAAGCATGGGGTTTTAGTTCATTCGGAGACTTTACGTTATTTTACCCCCTACTTGTCATTTAACTCTTGAGCATTTTGGCCAGGACTTTCTCAAGTCCCACCAGGCAGTACAGTTCCCTACATAAATTACCTCGCCATCCGTGTTTTGAGCTGGCTGCCCTGCCTGGCACCAGGCTTGCTCTTTACTCACACGTTTGGTTGGGATAATCAGTGCTTCGAGCTGAAATGATGAGTTCAGGGTGTGATGCACACCACCGCAGCCCGCCTTCCCAAATTAAAATGTGTGGTAAATTTTATAACTGTCTAAAGTTGTTATTAACCTAGTGTAAAATCCACAGTGTTTAACAATACTGGCTGTGGGGTTTTATTAAGGTTCCAGGATTATACAATTTGATTTTTTTTCCTCCACTCCAGAAATCCTGCAGTTTTGCACACAAGAGAAACAACCCTTACGCCCAACTCCTCCCTACAGTTTGTGTATGCTCCCAAGGAGACAAGTCGAATACTCCTGTGTGAGCAGCCTGGCTTGGTATTTTACTTTACCCTGTGAGGAAATGGCGTGACAGCTGGGTGTGACAGACAGAACAAGTGAGCACCGACAGCTGAGCCCAGCCCAGGACAGGCCCACCCTGAACAGGGCACAGGGAAGGTCACAGGGGGACACTCTGACCTTGATCCCTCTGTGCCTTAGTTAAGTCTGTACAGCAGAATAAATGATAAATGAGCCATGCCTGGGTGTCACGGGATAACATTTCAGCAGCTTTTCCAGCAACAGTATTTTCATTTCACCACCTCTCAAAATCCTCGCAGTGAAATTGCTAAGTCACCTTTGGGAAAATGTTTTATAAATAGCATCACAGTGGGGATGAAAGGCAAAACACTGGAAAGCTGTTTGCTAACTGAGCATCGCTGGTACGACAACGAAAGAAGTGGGATTCTGCTGAAAAAAACACAGCTCCTAAAGATCAGACTACAGTAGTAGAATTCATGCCCAAACAAGCTCAATTAAAAATCCACCATCAATTTGGGTATTTCTGATCCAGAAGGCTCAAATCCTCATCAGTTCTTCAAAGGATAAACCTGATCTCAGGTAGCAGGCGAGAGGGTGACAACTGCCATGGGGAATATTGACCTTTTAGAGAACACAATTCCAGATTTCTCCCAGACACGACAGTAAGTTTTCAGCATTTAGTGCACTTCTCCAATACACAGGATTTCTTTGGATAGAAGAGCTCAGTGATGCATCCACGCTGGTGAACGCCAGGACACGTTACGGCACTCACACAGCTGAACACTGCAGAGAGCCACCGCAGAGCTATGCCACTGGGGACAGAGCATCTTCCTACCCTCGCACTGAAAACTGGAGTAGTAGCTGCTCCCACTGCTTGCGATTCACAGGACAATAAAACACATCAGATCCTTAATTCTTCAGGTTTTGAACCATCTCATCCTTAACACGTATCCTTTTTTAGAGGCTGTCCTTACACCGCCTTCAGAAGCACTAGGTAAAGATGAGGAGAAAGTCCAGAGGCAACTCCAGGTACTTACACAGACAGATCTCTATATTTTTGGGACTTTTTCTTTGTTTTGAAGTGGAGGATAGGAAGAAACCACCACCAAACCAATTTACCCAGTTAAACACAAGGCAGATATTTAGAAATTTGGCTAATTTAGGGTTTTCTGAGAAAACTATGCAACCTCACAGCACGCTAAGTTGAAGTGAGACTGTGCAACACAAGAACACCGTAGTACCAGCACTTTCAAGTCACTGACCTCTTGTTCCCTTTGAAATATAACCACTCTGCCACCTTTGTCTCCTGTTGCAAGCAGATCACCAGAGTAATTAAATTCAACCGTTGAAATAATATCAGCTGTAAACAGAACAGAAAGAGAACAGCACTGTAATGTGTCAGGCAAATCAAGACATTTCAAGACTTGAACACAAAACAAAATTACAACTCATTAATGCAACAGTAAAACTTCTCAATTTACATCATCGGTATCCAGAAATAAAGTCACGTTTCTGAGCTCAACAAAATTTTATTTACAATCTAAACCACTTCCTCATTTCTCAGTTTCTGAAGCTTTCGAGGGCTTCAACCATAAAAGAGAAGGTGTATTATTGTTTTGGGAACCCAAACTGTGCATTCCCCCTGCTGTCAGTAAATGCTGCAACACCTCAGAGATGTGCCTGCACAAAAGCCAGAACCCAAAGTGGTTCCTCTGGGAGCAGCACCTACTCAGCTCAGGAACCTGAACCGGACATACCCCTGATGCCAAAGGGGGGAAATGAACAAATAAATACACTAAAATTCTTCCAGCTGAGCTTCCTGAACCAACTCTGTGCAGATGCAGCAGCACGAACACAGCAAACAGGGCAAGGGTGGCTGCAGCCGGAGGATGGGAGAGCAAAGGCAAAGGCTGCAGCACCTTCAGAGCCCTGGGCGCTGCTGACAACCAGTGCCTGTTCACCCCGCACATCACAGCTCAGCTCTGGGGGTGGCAATAAAGAAATAATTGCCATTAAACAACCGCTAACCCAGGGCAGGAGAGATAAGGGGCCATAATTGTCTGTCACAGGTTTCAGGCATACGAGAACTAAACCAACAGAGCACTCGGCAGGAAATTGTGAGTAAACATTGATCTGTACTGAGGGCTGGGGGCCATGCAAATACTTCATCATTGTGCAGGTATAAAAACTAAGATTTGAGGTTTATGATAGCAATTGGTTTCAGTGGAGACTGGATGAAAACGACTTTCCTGTATTGGTTTTGATGTGCTATCTTCTAAATTCTTTTCAGGAGTCCCCCACTCTTACGAGGAAGGTGATTAGGAAGCCTAACCGGTTGGCCAATATACAACTCATATTCATCTTTTATTAACAGACACCTTTGAAACACTTCTTTCCTGGTATAAAGATGATGATTTACCTTCTTTGGTTAAAAAAAAAACAAAACTAAAACAAATCAACTTTCTACAGATTATCGTAGCCTTCAAAATCACACCACTAACCTGCTTTTGGACATACTTTTACATTCATCTTTCTTTAAGAGGTTATGAAAAAATTCCATTTTGGTAAAAGCCAGGATGACAGCGAATCCCTAATCCTCAGCAGACCCAAAACAGCTAAGGGAAACTTGTCAACTGTAACGCTGATACACTACTGCACGTTCCCAGAGCTCATCCCATTTCCCTGCTGTGATTCAGTCTCAGCCCGCGCTGGCCCTCGGCCAGGCAAGGAATTATTCTGCATCCACACACACAGTGGATATCCATGGAAAGGTTGCTGTTAATTTGGAGATTTCTTCTTTCTTAAGCAGGAAAAACTTAAACAAGGCCCTTTTGTAACAATCTGCATAACGTAGGTATATGGTAATCCTGAAAACGTGTTAAAGCCAACTCATTCTTCCTGCCTGACAACCACGGGGAAAAGGAGATGTGTGAGAATTGAGATTCAACATCGAAACAAGAAATTCTGTGTGTAGCTAAACATTGCTGTTGGGCTTTAATACTGAGCCATGCTAATTACTGCCACAATTACATGTTTGCTTTATGCCCAATACAGGCTTAAATGGTGTGAGTATATAAATCACAGCCAGTTATTTGTAATGGCTTAAGAGTTTTATAGTTACAAATAGCAAATATCGTGGCATTAGCCAAGAATTTTGGACTAAAATGAGAGATGTAATCTCACTTAAATTGTACTCCAAGGCTGACAATAGTGCTAGGCTAAAAAACATTCCTACATCCCAATACACTCAATTATACACAGGAAAAAACCCCAAGCATTTCAAAAGACACCCCAGGAAAACAGTAAACTAAGGGGAAAAGAAACAACAGATGAGGAAAGCAGGGAAGCCACTGGATAATTCTGTGACGCCTTCCGTACTCTACTCAAACATTAAGTAGCCCTTGAGTTACAAACGTTTACCAGTAGCAAAATTAATATTAATATTAGATTTCTGATCTAGAATATTTATTTAGAATTATTAAATATAGAATATTTAATATTGAAATAAATACCTCAAAAATCTGAAAGCCATTCCAGCACAGATAATTTTTACCCTTTGAGAAATGAGTAAACGTCCTAGCAGAAATAAATGACTCCTTAACATACGCAACTATTTCAAACAAAGTCACAGAAAACACTTTTCCATGTAGTTTCAGAACAGGAAAAAGATGATGTTAATTTCTCCCAAGCACACTATCCAAGTATTTACTGAATTATTTGCTCAAAGTACACCAGGCACCATTCATGCTTTAACACGCTCGTAAAGTCAACACCAGCCATTATTTACTAGTGGTGACGTTCAGCCAAATGTAATCTTGGGTTCCTCTATCAACTGTGCAAACTTGCTACAACACAGCCACTACCCAAATTCTGGGGTTTGAAACCAAAAATACAGGGAGGGGAGGTTGAACAACAGGCATAAGCAAAATGCCTCCCTTTGAACTGAATGAATTTAAAACAGCTTTCCCTATAAACGTGCTTAATTAAAGCACAGCAATCCCCTAAATAATTCCATCCCATAGCCTCAGCACAACACGATCACAAAGCAGGTGAAATTTAAAATAATAAAATTGAAAAATCTGAGATCAGAGGTAAACCACCAGACTCATTCCAAACCAACCACCCTCAGTTCTGCTGACCAAACTTTACCCACCTACATTTGCTCTTTATTTCCAAACAGCCGAACTTTCAGAGGAAAACAAGGCAAGCCTTTGCAGGTTCTTAATCACCATGTTAACTTGGGAATTCTTAAAGCTTTTTCCTTCCATGTAGTATCTTTTCCTCATGGGTACAAGCACCAGCCGTATTTCCCAGCAGAGTATTTCAGTCTTTCCTTCACAGTAGCAAATAACTCACACTGAGATGTACACAAGGGTGAGGAAAGACAAACTGCCATGGTATGTGCTCACGTGCAGCACCCCAGTGCACCCCTCTCACGCACGACACCTTTCTGATGATGACTTTCCAGAAATGGAGACTTTGTCCAAATTCCCCTCCACTTTCATTGCGGGGTGGCCAGGACCCTCTGCTTCCTCCTGAAATCCATGGAGAGCCACAAGGCCTATGGCTGTACAATGAGATTTTAGTCTGGCAGTATTTGTTTCTCCAAACGTGAAAAATTAATGTTCAGCTTCACTTTGGGAAAGGCGTTCTAACTCAGCTGTGGTCTATGTACAGAGCAGAAAACTGCTAGCTGTTTTCAGAGCTACAGTATTATAAGGGGTGTGGGGGGGAAACTGCTGGCAATTACATTATGATTCAGTAGAATCCCCAAATTTAAAAGCACTAAGGCTACAAATATCCATCTTTATTATAACATAGTGGTAACTACTCTCAGTGACTCGGGAGACCATCCTGTAAGCCCAGACAGGAGTTTCAAAATTCAGTATAAACGCTCTAAGCCTTTTAACATCACTGCTGAACATCAACCTCCCTGTACCACAAAACTCCTGTCATAATCCTGGTCAGGTTCAACAACCTCCAAATCGTCCTGGGGGGACACAGGGGGACAGGGTGACAGAAACCAATGCTTGTTAGGGTTTGGAGATGACAGGAAGCTTGGACCTGGAAACTAATTTAACCCCACAAAGGATTCATACGAGGCATTTCTAACTGACACCGATAACAACGCCTGGGCTCTCTAGGTAATGGAGAATGCAAAGAGATCCAGAACAGCTAAATTAGATGGCTAAAATTAGCTCCCATGAACTTTTCCTCTCTGAGCTGGCTGCATATTGCTGCTTCAGTTTAAAACCTGAAAAAAACAAAATTACTTCATAGCTCAGCCAACAGATCAGGGAATTTGCAGCTGCAGTCCACACTCAGGGCTGACGCTGACTGAACACAGCAGCACTGACTGCTCTCTCATTCTCCTAAGCTACTCAAAGACTTTTGTCAAAAGTCCACTCCTCAGACCTCTAATGAAGTCCCAGAGTTGCTATTTTTGGACATTATCTAAAAAGGGGCTGCTCCAACTTCTAGGGGGTTTTAACTGAAAATGTTCCAAATACGTTAATGGCCAACACAGCTTCACATTCAGTACAGACTGCCAGAACACTGCATGGCACCAGACCTGTTCCTGTCCGTCTCCTTGAAAAATCTCTTTAATACACAGCACTTTTCCCAGATCTGGCCTAGAGATCCAAAGAATGACCTGCTCTGAGGGCTCCGAAACCTCTGAAGAGGGTCACGCTTTGAGAGGAAACGAGTGGACAGGGACCAAAGGCAGATGGCATCAACAGTATGGGAGACTGGCCCTGGAAACTCAACACAGAGCATTTCTGTGCCTGCCGTGGAGACCGAAGTGCCCCCACCTTTCCCTCCCACACCACTCTCTGTTCTACAGAGCAGTTCATTCTGCAGGGGGGGAAAACTGCGGCAGACAATGTGCGGTCTCCTACAGCTGATGGGAATGAAGCAGAGAAGGGGTAAGTGTGGGCTGTGTGCTCCTAAATCAATCTGGGAATTGAAAGCTGGAATCTCTGTGACACTGTGCTGAACTGTAAAATATGGCATCAGATCCAACAGGACTCTCCTGTCACAGCCAGTGACAGCACAGCTCTCCCAGGTACAACTGGTGACAGCCATGGACAGGGGGGCATACAGGGAATGGCAAGGAACCATCGCCTCAGAGCAACTATGGGAAGCCTCAAAAAGGGTCAAATAAAACATTAAAGGAGCAAGTAACGTTAGCGAAGACAAAAAGATACACAGAGACCTGTTAGAGGGAATGGAGCAATCACGGAGAATGAAGTTCCCAGCTTCACCACTGACCTCTGGTCCTCAGCCTCCCCTTCCCCTCATTTCTGCACCCTTTACCGGTGTGCAGCCAAGTGAACGTGGTCTCTCCATACCACGGCT